CTGGTTTAGGGTCTAGGGTTTAGGGTTTAGACTCTAGGGTCTCGGGTTTAGGATCTCGGGTTTAGGGTCTAGCCTAAACCCTAAACACTAAACCCCTAAACCCTAAACCCTAAACCCCAAACCCCAAATCCCCAAACCCTAAAACCCCTCCAGTGCAAGCACGGGCCACGGTGCAGCTCGCAGGCTGCCCATCAGAGCGGCGCACGGAGCCCGAGAAGGCCTCGAAGTTCTCCTGGCACGCCGGACTTGCTTCTGATACTTTATTTTTTGGGGTTTTAGGGTGTAGGATTTAGGGTTTGGGTCTTAGGGTTTAGGGTCTAGGGTTTATGGTTTAGGTTTTGGGTTTAGGGTGTAGCGTTTAGGGTGTAGGTTCTAGCTATCGCTCATGCACTGCAACATGGGTTAATAAACATAGGGTTCCGTTTAAAGGGTTCTATAAGTGTTCCTACAAGGGTTCAGTGTAGGGGCCACGAGGGCTACTAATAAGATGAAAGATGACTCGGACTTGCTATGATGCTACCTCTCATGAAATATCCACCTATCCTCACCTGTGGATGAATATCATATCTGTACATATAATCTTTCTATCTGCCGCGTGTTTCACCCCAAACCCTAAACCCTAAACTGTCCTTCTTTCTGCTGCTCCTCCTTTTCCTAGAGCCTCGAAAAGCCCGAAGCCCGAAAGCCCCTTGAGAAAAGAGGTGGAGCGGTTTAGGGTTTAAAGCCATGTTTGAGGTGCTTTGAAGAAGTTGCTGTACAAGAGTCCTGGGGCTCTCTGGGTAACCCTGCACTTGTCGATGCCTAATGAGGCGGTTCGGCGTCACATCTCCGAACATGGTAACTTGAGTTTGTTGCAAGTTGCTGTGAGCTTCAAAAGTCGAGGAAGTTTGATCTTGCTAGGCTTACGGCTTTTCGATCCGTGATTTGGGGCGTTTGGAACTCTAACCACCACCGTTCTCACTGTTCGTTCTGGCTGTACAACCATGCAAGATGGTTTTCAACTGACTTGTCTAAGTTATCCCCGCTTCTTTATGGCTGGTGTGAGGCTTCCGTCGTTTGAGCTCCAGCACCCCCGGCTCAAATCCCAACTCGGAAAAGAAGTGATTTGACAGCTGGAACCTTCAAGCCCGAACCCCAATGGCCTGGAGAGCCTAAAAGCCTCCGAAACCCAAACCCCAAACAAACCAAAACTTCTGCACGCCGCCCTGAACCCTGTGGCAAATAATGTAGGGGCGTACGTAATTACCCGTACCTTACAGGGGGGTCCTTATTATATAGACCCCACAAACCCTAGTCGAATTATTCGGACCCCTATATCAGTCCAAGTTTCGATCAAGCTCGGAAGATCCTATACTATTTTGGGGGTTCCTTACTATAATTATAGTATAATGGACCCCAAAGCACTATTCTAATTATGAAGTCCAAGTTTCGATCAAGCTCGGAAGATCCAGTTGCAGAAGGTCTTCGCCACTTGCAGAGCGACTCCTCTTCTTCAGTCCAAGGCTTCATGTGGAGGGCTTAATAATTAGAATAGGATTCTGGGGTATGTTCATGTTATACTATAATTATAATAAGGAACCCCCAAAATAGTATAGGCAACTATTTAGGCTTCTGTATTTGGCTTTCGGGCTTCGGGTTTTTTGATGTTTAGGGTTCCTTGGATAGGGCTCCTGTCCGTCTTGAAGCCGTGGCTACTGTTCGAAAACTCCCATGGGGCTAAGGAGTTGGGCATTTAAGCTTCGAGATTTCGGCGTCGGCATGACGATGTCACCCCTCAATGCGCGGACACCGACATGAAGGAGGCGGAAAGCAGAATGCTTCGGCTCTCTTTTTGAAGTTTCGGAGGAGGTGCGGGGTGAGGCTACTTGACGAAGCTTAAACACGGCGCAGGATTTCTTCCATCCACAGTAGCGACCCTACTTCCAATTTCACTTTCAACCGGAAGTTCCAACTCCCGCAAGGCTGCTGGTAAGGCAGCAATATAGGGGTCCTAATAATTAGAATAGGGTTTAGGGGCCCATTATACTATGATTATAATAGGAACCCCCAAAACAGTATTGGTAATTATTTAGGTCCCTACATTAAATTCCAAAGCCCTGTATGACATGCACACCCTCCAGCAAGTGTTTCAATGTTTGCCTGTTCACCAAATGGAGTCTGCATGGAACCCCAAGGTGCTCTGGCTTTGGTGTTCTCCAGTCCCTAGCCCGAAAAAGCCCTGCTCCATCATACCCCACGACCCCGAAATCCTGAACTCATCTAATATTGCTTTTAGAATTAGAATAGGGTTTTGGGT